TTTCCATTAAGGCTAAACCATGACGTCGTCCCGAATAATAATTAATATATAATTAACGCGGTACAAAATCCTATCGATAGTGACATGAGAAAGTAGGGGAAGGTCCATTCTACAATCTTAAATTACAAACGTTAACAATTTATTCGTAGTAGTCGAGTTATTAATAAATTCGCTGCTTTATTTGTTTCTTCTCCGTCGACATGTCGCATTTAGTTCTTAGCTGTCGCCGCTAGATGGCTCACTTTCGGTTACCTCCTTAGTCCTGATGCTTCACGAGTAGGTACCAGGGACTGATGAGATGCTTTTTCGTAGGAGGCGGCAGTAGGAACTCTATCTCTGTCCTTGTCGCACACTAGCTCTGTCCTTGTCTTACACATTGCGGGTATAGGGAAAAGCTTCGAAAACGCCCAACCGCTAGATGGCGGTCCTAATCATTGCGTAATGGGCGAGTGCCCCTGACAAACTGCAACCGTTCTTACGTTAATGAAACTTCCCTTATACGAGGCATAATTCGTTAATAATATTATAATATTGATTATCGCAACGAAAGTTTAGACTATATCGTAATGTTTAAATAATCGTTTTAATAATTCGACTATTACGAATAAATTGTTAACGTTTGCAATTTAAGATTGTAGAACGGACCTTCCCCTAGTTTCTCATGTGACCATCGATAGGATTTTGTACCGCCTTAATTATTTATTAATTATTCTTCGTGAATATTCATTCTATCGGATATAATATAAATTTACATTGAGGAGATGGAAACCAAAAGTCTTATAATTTTCTCATTAATACTCCATGCAAATCTACTGCGCAACGTATAATTAATTAATTAATTTTTGGATAATTGTTCTGTAAGAGGAAGACGAACATGCAAAGTTTCGAGGGTAAAGGATAGAAATGGGATGAAAATCGTTTAATACATAATATATTTCGATGAAAGACTTAAAGCTAGAACCATCGCATACATAATACCAATTCTGTCTTTAATTTTATCTGTTTTAAAATTCTTCGTGGATAACCACGAATGATTGTTCAAACAGCGTAATGCGGTATTGGAAGAGGGTACATAATAGTGGACCAAGTTTCCGTCTCAAATCCTTGGATCTCCTGCCAGCAGATCCCGTTCGCAGTTCCCAGATACTCCACCCAATAATGCGCCATGTTGTTGTAGTTCTCCTTCCAAGTCTGCAACGCGGAGACATCGATGCAAAGAAGAATACAGATAATCCCTTCGACGTCCTACCCTTCTGTTCTGCTCTATCCAGGCTTCCAGCATCACGTTCCCCTGTCGCTGCGACCATCTCTTTGCTTTCTGCAAGTGCGCCTGAGACGCTGACTTCCTGCCGCGCACGTGGAACATGTGCGCCTGCAGCAAGCGTAAAAATGGCGTGACGAAAGCAGCTCGACCTTGCAGCCTCTTAAGCGCCCCGATCAACTTATTCGCGTTGCGCAGTCTGTCTATCAGATCGCTCGACTTCTTGATGCTTATTCGGCGAACCAGTATCAGCAAATAACACTCGAGACCCTGTAGAAAATAAATAAATTCACAAACATATTCTAAGAGGATCGAACAACCGACAATCGCTCGACCAACCTTCACGCAATTATAAATCTGCGAGAACTTATCAGCCTGGATATCCTTCACGTAGGTTTCAACGTGCAACACCAGTTCGTCAGAGATCGGCACCGCCCTGCAAATGAACACAGTTAACCAAACCGACGAACAAAAGCGCATTTAACCCCTTGCACTCGAGAGGTGACTCTCACCACCTAATTTCAAAAAAGTGTTCAAATATTTCTAGTGAAAATCTTCCGAGTGCAAAGGGTTAACACTCACATTCTCAACTGCCAGATGAACAGACAGGTGACCAGCCGCGTCAAGCTCTGCGGATCTCGTGACACGCGAGTACTCTGTTCAGCTAATCAACACATCACTGTATTAACAGATTAAGATTCTCAGTAATAAATACCCTACCTGTGATACTCGAGTAGTAGCTATAGCACGTTTCATAAGACTCCAAGAACATCCCAGCGTCGAGTAGCAGCTCCATACACAGCGCGTAGTACCAGGTGATCGCGGATCGATCCACGTCCTCCTCCGACAGACAGTACAGCTCCCTCAGCAGGTCAACCGCAGAGTGCAGCCGCTTTATCCACACCTGAAACCGTGCCGTGTTACAGCAAAGTCAAAGGACAACTGGAAGGTAAACTGTCACCATAGCTTCTATCAACGTGGGCAGCACAGCTATCTTCAACCTGTTATAGCGAAGACAGCCGCAAATCTTCAGCAGATTGATCCCAGTGTCCACGTACTCTTTGAGTTCACCGTTCAGCAGCCTTTCATTCGGGAATTCGTTATTAGAAATAAATTCTGTTGATTAACCCTTCGAAGCGTGTCACCTGTTCTCCAGGAACACGCGGTACACGTTCGCCAGCGTGGCCGCCTCCTCCGCGGAGTTCCAGCTGGTTTTCTCCTCCACGGCGTGCATCATCGGCTTCTCCAGTGACCTGACGTAGCTGTAATCATCGCGGAAGGTCTGCACCGCGGTCAGATAGACCTGGCCCTTCTCCAGGAAGCCTCCAATCGTCTGGAAAGCGGCGTCGAAGCTCTTGATCATCGTTCGCTTCGCGATTTTCGGTCCACCGTCCATCTAAAAATATTCATTCCTCCGTCATTCCGTCAATGACTAAGTAATTCCATCCTCGCACCATCAACGCCATCGACAGACGTTGCAGATAGATCGCCAGTTCCAATTTCTTCGCAGCTGCCTGGCCGCTAGCTCGGTTCAACAGGTAATTCGGCAGGCCCTGCAACTTGTAGCGCAGTTTCTCCATGATCAGGCTGTAGCACGCTAATTTGTTGCTCAAACGAGGACCGTTTCGAAGAACTACCGCCTCTTTGTAGAACTTCTTCGCCTGCGCGTAGTTTCCGGTGGCAATGTAGGCGTCGCCTGAGAATTTAATGATTGAAGATCAAAATGTTTGATGAATATTAAAGGAGAAGGTTTCCGGAGTGTTTTACCTATCAGAAGCAGCGTGACGCCTTTGCAGCTGATTTCGTCAGTGACATTCACGATCAGCTGCTCGTTAGCCTTCGTAACGCCGATTTTTGTGGTGATGTCCGCGAGGAACTTCGTCGCGAAGATCGGTTGTCCAGTGGATATTAAACCGGCGCTGTACTCCTGCATGAACTTCGTCAGCTTCTCGACGTCCACTGGGAATTTCATTCAATTTCGTTTATTCTGGAAGCTCGGTGCTATGGGTACTCGGTGTTACAGTTGGATATGGTACCGATGTTCTGAATATGGTAATGCAACTGGCTGAAGAAGTAGTCGATCTTGTCGATGCACCGGCAGTTGCGATTGTCCAAGTGGCTCAGCTGTTTCAGACGACTTTCCCAGGGAATGCCGAACTTCTTCGCGCCATTGGACGGTCTGCGTTCGACCACATTCACCGTGACCTCTTCTAAAATGATCAGTGGTTTCAATTAAGAGGTAGGAATGGAAATGTTCTGGATGAACGTCGAATCTTTACCTTCATCCTCGTCGTCGTCGAAACCGGGTAAAATGGAGATTCTGCGGATGCTCAGACTTTCTCGCCTTCTTTCCGTGTCGCTCGTCTCGTTCGCGAGCACTAAGATGTTCCGCTTCGAGTTTCCTCTGTCCATCAATCTACTGTATGTTCTTCTTCGCCTGATTGTTGATATGCTCGTCGTCGAAGGCACCTTCTCGACCTTGTAGGGAAAACTCAGAGTTCAGAAACTGTTTGAAAGGAAGAAAAAGTGAATTGACAGTGGGAAAAAGTAAAAATTGAAGCGTTGTTGGTACTCCAGGTTGTCGTTCCTCGTCCTTCGAAAAAATCGCGAGGAAGCTGCCGCCGCCGCAGGTGCTGCACCTACGAGCGTCCCTCTCCAAGATGGCTGCCGCTTTCAAATGGTACTCTCTCCTCTCGTGCAAAGGCAGAATGTTATACAAGAGCTTGCGGTAGGAGGCAATAGTGAATTCCAAGTGTTGACAGTGCGCGTACGACGGCAAGGTCCTAGGAGCAAAGATTCCTGCAACCGTAACTGCCGACAGACCTTCGCTGACTGTTTCAAGGTGTCAATCCTTCGCACTCGAGAGTCAACAGTCACACTTGGTCTGACACAGTAAAATTATAAACAACCGAGCAATTCGACCTGTTCCTAGTTTTCCTTAATAATAGAATAATTATACGACACGTCTAGCGAGAAACTTTCGAGTGCAAAGGTGAACACCAAAATCCACTGTGAACGACTGCATGACTAACGAGGCGGTTGACAGCTGCAAGTGACCAAGTGGTGCAGGTTGCTGAAAGTCTTGCGCCTCTTGAACAAGAACAGCATCGACTCGTCGACGTGGAACTGTTTCCTTTGGGTCATCGCGCACTCCATGATCCTCAGCCTTATCATCTCTGCCACAGCTGCAAAACGCAAGATATTTCGTAAAGATTCGACAACTTCGAGTGATTCTTACTTTCCTTTCGACGTGTACAACGGCGCAGCGTTGATCATTAAGTTCCCTATCATGTTCCGAGCGAAGATCCTGCCCAAAGTTGCTGCGCACTTGACGAAATCCTGCTCGTAAGAGTTCATTCTGTTGTATATGTCGATTCTCAGACCTGAAACGAATAGATCATCGAAATATGGATCACGCGCAGCATCGAGGTAGATGATAGTCACCTATAACATCGCGATTCGTCTCGACGAAGCCTCTCATGACCCCGGAAGGCACGCAGACGTTCGCGGTACTCATCTGCGACCAGTGCAATGGCGGCGCCAGTTCTTCCGGAGTCAAATTAGAAGGCACCTTAGTTACCAGGGAACAATCTGGGAAAACGAGATCTTTGATCCTCGGGTCCATAGGCGTGATGTTGACGAAATCCAGAGCTCGGATCTGCAGAGTGGACGTCAGGAACGCTTCGCACCAGGCGAACGAGCTCTTGCCACGCTTCCGGAGCACTCTGCAATGATTAATTAACTGTTTACACTACGAAGACGTCACAACCACTGATTTGACACAACATATTTAACACTAAAACTACCAGAGGGGTTAAATGACCCATGCCTGATGTCTTCTTTTTGCAATTATTAGAAAGGTACAAATGTTTCTCTGAGAAATTATTAAAGAAATTCATTCAGCACTACGCAAATTGAATTGTAAATCAATCAAAGTCTATATCTCGTCAGATGATCTTGAGTATTTCTAATGAAAAACTTTCGAGTGCAAAGGGTTAACATCCGATCACGAATCGGTTGAAGTATCGAAAGTCGTACTTGTCGAGTTCCTTAGGGATCGCCAGAACGTTCAAGAATTGACAGGCGAACGCCGTTATGTACTGAGGATCCAATTCCACCAACGACCGGTTCATCAGCCGCTTGTCTTGGCAAATGGCAAGCTGAACCTGGGACAAATGATCCCAGGAGACCGGTTCCAGCAGCGTCATCGCTATGATCACGTTGTCGTTCTCCATTGACGCGGAGAGGAACTTCCAGGACAAGACGTCCATGTTCTGAACGTCGTCGAGTAAGATACAAATATGTTTCCCACACTGGAACAGAATCGAAACTGATTAAAATTCCAGGGTCGAATTTATAACAACATTATATCTACCTTCTTGAAGATCGTTTTGAAGATCTCCGTGGTTCTCGTGTGACGTTCCCAATCGGTACTCTTGCAGTACTCCTCCGACAGAGGAAACTGAACCTTCATCATGGCGTTCAGGTAGCATAGATCGTTATACTGTACGAAATCGGATAGTTTACTCGATACAATCCTCTCGCGTTCTTCTATCGTCGTGCAATCGGTTGCATCGAAGAGCTACATACGAATGATTCGAATCTTAACGAGTTCTCCGAGTAAGGAGAATTTCTTTAGCTTTCTAATTACTTGCAGAAGCAGGTGGTACACCACAGAGAACTCTTTCTCCACGAAAGATTCCAACAGAGGAAGCTTGAGAAGAGTTAGCTGCCGATTTTGCCCGATCGTCACGAACGCGTCGAGCAGCCTCGACTTTCCCGACCTCTCAGCGCCCTAAATCATCAATACTAAAGTACAACGAAGAAATGTGTTGATGATAATTAACCTTTTGCACTCGAGAGGTCTCTCGTTGAGTTTCACAAAATGTCGTCTTTGTCTCATCAGGAAATGTGAAAATATTTCTAATGAAAATCTTTCGAGTGCAAAGGGTTAACAGACTGACCTCGACGAGTATTCCAGAATAATTCTTCCCTGCGACTCCAATCTCGTCTAAGATATCCTTGAATAATTCCAAGTCTCTCGATCGGCCGAGAATAGGGTAGACGTAATCGATGCCTGATAGATATTCCTCGGATAAACTGCAAGAAAACAGTGGTTTGCGACGCGAAAAATATTTGGATTGAATATTCTTACAAGTACGTGTCCAGGATCTCGTAAACGTGAGCCTTGCCGAATCCTTTGAGCGTCTTCATGCCTCGCGAGCGGAACCTGTCCGTCTTCATGGAACTGTACAGGACAGTGTCGTAATCGCAGGACATCTGTAAGATAATTTATTTTTTGGAGTCGATGAATTCAATGTTAATCCCCTTCTTAACCCTTTGCGGAGAAACCCTATTCGTGAGAAATGAATCATAGGGCAAAAGGTTAATAAAGTTACAACCTTGCCGAACGATATCGACATCAAGGAAGTAGCCTTGTCCACCGGCACGCCGAAAACCATGTACTCTCTTCTAGCGGGGTGGCCGATCACTCCGCAAAACGCCATTCCTAAGTAACGGGTGTTCGAATTGAGTCGCTCTTAAATTCAGAAACGAAATACTGAAGAAATTAATGTCTTGGCTACTGGAATAATTAAAATTAAAAGATAGAAACGACGTAATTACCAGTTGAAACGCCGATGGACACCGTTTTTACACCGCCGACGCGTTTCGTCTCGTTAAAAATCTCCGGCACAGATGAAACTCCATTGTTCGCGGGATTCTCACCTCCGGTTTCCTCGTACCCCTTTAATCCGAACACGACGTTGAACAGAATGTCCCTGGTGTAGGTGTTCATCAGGTTCACGCAGCCCGAGTATTTGTTCACTATGCTTATGGAAGCATCATTCGTAAAGTGTCCATTGATCTCGAGACAGGTCGCTAAATACTTAACCCTTTGCACTCGAGAGGTGACTCTCAGTGATCCGATGCAACAAACTATGAAGTTGAATATTTAATATTTCAAATTAAAATTTGCATTGCTACGTGAAATATTTCAATGAAACACCTCTGTTGCTTAATTTATCTATGGATTATCGTTCAATTAATTTCAAAGTAATATTTATTGCTGAATTCTTAAAATCTCGAGTCTCACGCGTTACTGCAAGTCAATTTCTTAACTCAGCTATCCTGTGGCTCAAAAGTAAAGAGAGGCAAGAAGATTCGGGCGCACGCTCCACCTCAATTTGCGGTTGAGTCAGTAATAAAGATGTGCCGAAAGTAATTCCGCCATTACTATCGGGCGGAGCGCCGCGAGTGGACGTCGCCCTTTGTCCCTCTTCACTTTTAAGCCACCGACCGGTTGGGTTCACGTCAGTACCTCTATAAAAACTCCAAGATTGCAGCTGTTGAAACTGTAATCGATTTACAATTCACTTTGTATGGGACAGAGTGATAAAAATAATGAAACGATCATTAGTAAAAGTGCCGTTTATAATTCCGTTTGAGAACCAATGGAAGTACTTCAATAAAACGGTGAACAGCTCGTCGATCAACGAAATCAATTCGTAGACTGAACACCTGCTTGGTACCACGTTCACAGACATCACGGTGACACGTCTGACTTCGGTCAGGTGTTCCAACGGCACGTCCGCTCTTATCTGCGAACGAAATATCGTGAACAGTTCGATCGTTTCGCGATAAATAAATGAATTAATTATCGAATACCTGGTTCAACACTGGCTTCGATATGTACGTCTCCAAGTCGATGCCCAGTCGTTGCTTCAGCACCTCGATCATCGAGACTCTGGCCACTGCTGATGTTCATTAATGTTTCAATGCAACAACTTCTCGTTAATGTCGTCTATCGTTCAAAAATAGTTCGCTATTCCTTCGTTACAATTAAAATAACCGGTTAATGCTAGGTTCACAGACATCTATTCCAGAATCTACTCTATTATTCCTAGAAAACTGAACGTTCATTCAGGTAGCTCTCGGAAGTTAGAGTTTCAAACGGAAGCATATGAAATATTTTTGAACGGAAGGGTGTAGAAGGCGAACCTTGAACAGCGCCGATCGGCAGTATGGAGAGCCTAGATTTCGACCGATCGGAGATAAGCGAGAACTTCTCCGATTCCTCGTCCAAGTCGCTAACTCCAGAACTCGCTTCTTCCAGCTGCGATACGCGTTTACTCTCAGAAGTCAGGCTCCGTTCGAAAACATCTTGAACCGGTCGTTTCCTCGCAACCGTGGTAACCGATCCCACAGGTAATCCCAAGACTCGAATAATCTGTGGGAAACCCCGTCGTTAAAAGATCCTGTGGACACCGGTGTTCGTGAAACTATACTTTCACGTTGCTCGAGTCTTTGATCACGTATTCGTATTGGCTGGGCGCACAGTGTTCCCACGCGCTGGACGACAACACCAGATCACCGGGTAGACATATCCTTCTGGCGAACTTCAGATCCTCGATCGGCGAACCGCTGATCACGAAATCTCTCGCTTTGTCGTGGCCGATCACCGAAAACGTCATTTCCCCCGCTGAAATCACCACGTCGACTGCAAAGAAAGGAACACGGAGTCATAAAGTGACGAGGCAATAAAGCGATTAACTAGCGAGGCAATAAAAAATGGGACAATGTCAACAACAATGTCTCTATCTCTCCGAGCTCGCCGATTTTGTCTGTTTCTCTTGCTCTGGAAGAAATTAACTTACCCTTTGGGATCAGCAACTTGTTCTTCACCGAGGCGACCACTTGCTGGATCTTTTGGGCGTAGATGATCACGTTGTACACCATGCTAGAGAAGAAATCGTCTTTGCCGATCTTCCACAGTACCAGCAGTCCGTCCCCTAAATCGGAGAGTACCGTTTCAGCTTGTTAACACTTTGTACGATTTTTCGAAGGCTGTGGCTGAATATTGTAGGAACTGTTCAAATTCACGACCGTTCCGTTTTAAATAATTTAGTGTCTAATATATGAACACACATATACGAGTAATACATATAAGTGACCAGGGTCCAGGCCTATCAGCGCCTAATTACGGCCCTTACTGACGGTGGTAGCGTAGCAATGGCCGCACTGCGCTAAAGCCTCATTCTTCTGCGGAGGTTTTTATATCTACATATTCAGACAACTCTCCTCTACTTTTTACGACAAATTTGAACTGCCTATCGTTCCTCTATCGTACTCACGAGAGAACTTCATCACATCTCCTCGAGTGTAATAGACTTCCTCGATGATGATGCCGATGTAAGTGTTCAGCATGTCCATCAGCGCGTAGCTGCCGCCGTTCTCGGCGTTCGCGAATTTCTCGTACAGGTTGAAAATCCGCGAGACGTCGACCAACGCGAGCACGGCGTTGAACTTCCGGAAGTTCTTGCGGGAGATGTCCGTTTCGTAGATCAGTTCGTCGGGGACGAACGTCGCGAGGATTCGAATGCGTTTGTCGCTTCGGTGTGTGATCAGTACCTGATCGTACGTGCACAGAAGTCATGAAAGCGTGCGCAATTTGAATGAAAGATCAAAGCGAAACAAAGAAGAATTAAATGTTTAGGTGAAAAAATAAAGAATTCATCGCTGAAAGAATTAGTATCGTGTCAAGCTTTATGACGACATGTATACTCGTCAAACACAGTTAACTGGTTAATGAACTAACCTCTCTTAAACCGATGCTCTCGTTCTTGAAAATTGGACCGATCAGATCCGGAGTCCACGCAAGCTCCTTCTCTTCTATGGTGTACACGTCCGAGACTCCTACGCGAATCCCGACTTTCATCGACGCAGGATTCTGCGGCCGATTCTGACAAGACGGCTCGCGATTCGCGCTAACCGCGAGATTCATTTGGAAATGAATTAATTCGTTGCACGCGAGTGACGAGAGTAAGGACGTTTAGGAAAGTCCTAACGTTTCATTTGTTTCGATCGCGATCTTCGTAGCCATGGAGTTGTAACTTTCGAGGTGCATTGAAAACACTTTGCTGCCAAGTGAACGCTCGTCGAAACTCTATGTCGAAACGGTTGTCTTAACGAAGTAGAAATTGAACAGCGAAAATTCTCTATAAGTTCTTTGTATTCGCGGTCAAAGTGTTAATTTGGTTAATTGATTTGGATGAGAGGGAAATGATGGAGGACACGTTATATAGCTTTAGAATTTATTTATTCATTCATTGTGTAATTATATATGTATTGATGTCTAGACGACCTATATTCGAATAGAAAAATTAATAGTTAAATGCTTATCACGCTACTTAAACTGAACTATATAATATTAGGAATTAATACTGTATGGCACATAGAATTATCGGAGACAAAAATATCGTATT